AAAGAAAAGAAAAAAAGAAAAAAAAAGAAGAGAAGAAAGAAAAGATATGAATTTAAAAAAGAAAAGAAAAAATTAAAGAAAGAAAAAGAAAAAGAAAAAAAAAGAAATAAAATGAAAAAAAGAAAAAAAAAAAAAAAAAAAATGAACATTAAGAAAAATTCTCTAAAATTTAAGAAAGAAAAAAGAAAAATTAAGAAAAAAAAGAAGAAAATGAAAGAAAGAAAAGAAAAAAGAAAAAAAAAAATAAAATTTTCCAAGAAAGAAAACAAAAAAAGATCCAAAGAAAATTTCTGAAAAAAAAAAAAAATGGGAAAAAAAAAGAAAAGAAAAAAAAGAAAAAAAAAAAAGGAATTTAAATTTTGAAAGAAAAAAAAAGAAAGAAAAAAATTTAAGAAAAAGAAAGAAAAAAAAAAAGAAAAAAAGAAAAGAAAAAAGAAAAATTAAAAAAAGAAATAAAAAAAAAAAAAAAAAAAAAAGAAAGAAAGAAAAATGAATCAAGAAAAAAGAAAGAAAAAGAAAAAAAAAAATCAATGAAAGAAAAAAAAGAAAGAAAAATTGAAAAGAAAAAGAAAAATTTTGAAAAAAGAAAAAAAACAAAGAAAAAAAAAGAAAAATAAAAAAAAAAAAAGAGATGAAAAAAAGAAAACAGAAAGAAACATCAAGAAAGAAAAGAAAAGAAATAAAATAAGGCTCGAAAAAAAAAAAAAATGAAAATGAAAAAGGTTTAATGTTTTCTAAAAAGAAAGAAAAAGAGAAAGAAAAAAAAAAGTGAGAAAAAAAAAAAAAAAAATTTGAAAAAAAAAGAAAGAAAAAAGGAAAAAAAAGAAAATTAAAGAAAGAAAAAAAAAAGAAAAAAGAAAAAGAAAAGAAAGGAAAATGAAAGAAAAGAAAAAAAAAAAGAAAAAAAAAAAGGTAAAAAGAAAGAAAAAAAAAAAGAAAAAAGAAAGAAAGAAAGAAAAAGAAAAAAAGAAAGAAAGAAGTAAAGAAGAAAAGAAAAAGAAAAAAAAGGAAAATGAAAAAAAAGAAAAGAAAAAAGAAAAAAAAAAGAAAAGAAAAACAAAAAAGAAAATTTGGGAAAGAAAGAAAAGAAAGAAAGAAAAAATTTAAAGAAAAGAAAGAAAAACAAAAAGAAAAATGAAAAAAAAGACAAATGAAAAAGAAATAAAAAAAAAATAAAAGAAAAAAAAAAGAAATAGAAAAAAAAAAAACAGAAAAAAAAGAAGAAAAAAAAAAACAAAAGAAAAGAAAGAAAAAAAAAGAAAGAAAAAAAGAAAAAAAAAAAATATAAAGATGAAAAAAAAAAAAAAAGAAAAAGAAAAATAGAAAAACTAAAAAAACAAAAGAAAATGAAAAAAAAGAAAGAAAAAAAAAGAAAAAAAAAAAGAAGGAAAAAAAAAAGAAAAGAAAAAAAAATGATGAAATGAAAGAAAGAAAAAAAAAAAAGAAAAAAGAAAAAAAGAAAAAAATAAAAGGAAAAAAAATTAAAAGAAAAAAATTAAAATGAAAGAAAAAAGAAATCTTTTATAAAAAAGAAAGAAAGAAAATAAAGAAAAAAAAAAAAAAAAATCTCAATAAAAAAAAACCATTGTAAAGAAAGAAAATAAACAGAAAGATAAAAGGAAAAATTTTAAAAAAAGAAAGAAATAAATTCTTTCAAAAGAAAAAAATTGAATTGAAAAAAAAAAAAAAAAGAAAAAAAAAAAAAAAACAGAAAGAAAAAAAAAAAAAGAAAAAAAAAGAAATAGAAAAATGAAAAAAAAAGAAAAAAAAAAAAAGAAAATCATTTGAAAAAAAAAGAAAAGAAATAAAAATTTAAAAAAAAAGAGAAAATAACAAAAAAAAGAAAAAAAAAAATTTTTAAAAGAAATTTTTATCATTGAAAAAAAATAAAAGAAAGAAAAACTGAAAAAAGAAAGAAATGAAAAGAAAAAAAAAAATTTTTGTAAGTGGAAAAAAAAAAAAAACATATGAAACAAAAGAAAGAAAGAGAAAATAAAAAAATTTTAACGAAAACCCCAAGAAAGAAAGAAATGGAAAGAAAAAAAAAAGAAAAAATAAAAGAAAGAAAAAACAAATACAGAAAAATATGAAAAGAAAGATTATTTCAAAAAGATTGTTGAAAGAAAGAAAGAAAGAAATAAAATTTTTTGATTTATTGGTAAACAAAAAAAGAAAGAAAAAAAGAAAAAAGAACCCATTGATTTATTTAAAAGTGAAAAAGAAAAAAATGAAAAAATGGAAAAAAATGAAAAATTTCAGAAATAAAGAAAGAAAGAAAATATAAAAAAGAAAAAATTGAAAATCAAAAACCCAAAAAAGAAAAGATGAAGGAAAAAATGAAAAAAGGAAAAAGAAAAAAGGAAAAGGAGAAAAAGAAAGAAAATTTAAAAAAGAAAGAATTAAAAATTAAAAAAGAAACAAAAGAGAAAAAAAAAAAAATGAAAAGAAAAAAAAAGAAAAAAATCCCAAAAAGGAAATTTGAAGAAGGAAATAAAAAACAAAAAAAGAAAGAATTATATAGAAAAAAGAAAAAGAAAAAATAAATAAAAATTGGAGAAAAAAAACATCTCAGTTGAAAAAGAAAAAAAAAAAAAAAAAACATTCTAATAAAGGCCAATAAATAAAAAAAGAAAGAAATTCAATAGTTGACAAAATTCATGAAAAAAGAAAGAAAGAAAAAGACTTTTTTAAATTAAAAGATGAAAAAAAGAAAGCAATATTAAAGATGTCAAGAAAAAAAAATGAAGACAAAGGCAAAAAGAAGGAAGAAAAGAAAATTTTTAGTCAAAAAAAGATTTGATAATTTTGAATTTAGATAATGAGAATGTCCAAATGAAAGAAATTCAAAAAAAAAAAAAATTTTTTTTAATTTTGGTTGAAAATGCCGTAGAAAAAGAGACTTGGAAAAGAAAGAAAGAAAGAAATTTAGAAATATAAAGAAAAACAAAAATCATTAAAAAAAAATGTCAGATATAATTTTGAAAAGTTAAAAAAAGAAAGAAAGAAAAGCTTTAAAAAAAGATATAAACCAATATGGAAATAAAATAAAAAAAGGTTTGGCTTTAATTTTATGGAACATAAAAAAAAGAAAGAAAAAAATGAAAACAAAAGAAAAAGAAAAGAATCCCAAAAAAGTTAAAAGAAAAAAAATTAAGTTCTTTTAAAGAAAAAGAAAGAAATCCATTTAGGAAAGAAATAAATTTAATCTTTTCTTATAAAAGAAATTTTACAAAAAAAATCAGAAAGAAATTTTAAAAAATGAAAAATTAAGGAAAAAAAAAAAGGAAAAAAAAAAAATGAAATTTTTTTTTTTTCCATTTAAATTGTGTTCTTTAAAAATAAAATAAAAAAAAGAAATCAAAAAAAAAGAAAAAAAAAAATTTTTAAGAAAAAAGAAAAAGAAAAGAAAAAAAAAAATTGAAAAAAAAAGAAAGAAAAAGAAAAAAAGGAATTAAAAAAAGGAAAAAAAGAAAGAAAAAAAAGAAAGAAAAAAAAAAAAAATGAAAAAGAAAAAAGGAAAAAAAAAATAAAAAATAAAGAAAGAAAAAAAAAAGAAAAAAAAAGAAAAGGAAATACAAAAGAAAATTAAATGAAAAAAAAGAAAGAAAAAAAGGAAAGAAAATGAAAAAAAAAAAAAAAGGGAAAGAAAAAAAAAAAGAAAAGAAAATGAAAAAAAAAAAGAAAGAAAAGAAAAGAAAATATTTATAAAAAAAAAAAAAATTTAAAAAAAAGAAAAAATTTAAAAAAAACGGAGAAAGAAAGAAAAAGAAAGAAAAAAAAAAAAAAAATGAAAAGAAAAAAAAAAAAAAAAAAAAGGTAAAATGAAATTCCTTAAGAAAAAAAAGAAAAAAAGAAAAAGAAAAAAAGAAAAAAAAGAAAGAAAAAAATTTTTCAAAAAAGAAAAAAAAAAGAAAAGGAAATGAAAGAAAGAAAAAAAAGAAAAATTAAAATTTAAAGAAAGAAAAAAGAAAAGAAAGAAAGAAAAGAATGAAAGAAAGAAATGAAAAAAAAAAGAATAAAGAAGAAAATTTTAAAAACAAAAAGAAAATTTAAATTTAAAAAAAAAAAGAAATAAAAAAAAGAAAAAAAAAGAAAATTAAATGAAAGAAAAAAATCAAAATTTTAAAAGAAATGTTTTTTAAAAAAGAAAAAAAAAAAAAATAAAATTTGAATTTAAAAAACAAAAAAAAAAGAAAAAGAAAAAATAAAGATGGAAAAAAAAATGCCTTTTGAAAAAAGAAAAAAAAATTAAAATCAAAAATTTTAACAAGAAAGATCATATTTTTAAATTAAAGAATGAAAGAAAGAAAAAAAGAAAATTAATTAAATGAAAGAAAATGGAAAAAAGAAAAAAAAAATATCCTGATTTAAAAATGAAAGAAATTGAAAAAAAAAAAATAAAAAAAAAAATGAAAAAATTTATATATCTATAAAATAAAATAAAAGAATCAAAAAAAACCAAAAAAGAAAATTAAAATCCAAAAAGAAAGAAAAAAAAAAAAAATGGAAAAAAATTTTGAAATTATTTGAAATGGTTGAAAAGAAAAAAAAAAAATAAAAAATTGAAAAATATTCATAAGAATAAAAAATTTTTAAAAAAAAAGAAAAAAAAAAAAAAAAAAGAAAAAATTAAAAAAAAAAAAAGGATAAAAAAACAAAAAAAGAAAAAAAAAAAAAAAAAAATGAAAGAAAAAAGAAAAGAAATTTAAAAAAAAAGAAAAAAAAAGAATGAAAAAAAAAAAACATTTAAGGTTTAAAAAGAAAGAAAGAAAGAAAAAAGAAAAAAAATATGAAGATAAAAGGAAAAAAAAAAAAAAAAAAGAAAAAATCCAAAAAAAAAAAAAAAAGAAAGAAAGAAATAAAAGAAAGAAAAAATTGAGAAAAAAAAGAATAAATATCTAAGAAAAAAAAAAAAAAGAAAAAAAGAAAGAAAAGAAAGAAAAAAATGAAAATAAAAGAAAAAAAAAAAAAAAAGAAAGAAAAAAAATGAATGATGAGATTTAGAAATGAAAGAAAGAAGAAAAAAAAAAGAAAATTAAGAAAAAAGGAAATGTCATAAAAAAAAAAGAATGAAGAAAAAAAGAAAAATGAAAAAGAAAAAAGAAAAAAAGAAAGAAGGAAAAAAAGAAAGAAAGAAAAAAAAAGAAGAAAGAAAGAAATAAAAGAAAAAAAAGAAAAAAAGAAATTAAAGAAAGAAAAAAAGAAAAAAAGAAAGAAAAAAAAAAAAGAAAAAAAGAAAAGAAAGAAAAAGAAAGAAAGAAGAAAAAAAGAAAGAGGCAAAAAAAAGAAAAAAGGAAAAAAGAAAGAAAGAAAAAGAAAAAAAGAAAGAAAAAAAACAAAGAGAAAAAAAAGAAATCTATAGAAAGAAAAGAAAGAAAATAAAAAAGAAACTGTTGAAATTTGAAAAAAAGAAAGAAAAAAAAAAAAAAAGAAAAAAAAAAACCTCCAAAAAAAGAATGAAAAAAAAAAGAAAAAAAAAAGAAAACTAGAAAAAAGTCAAAAAAATATCAGGCCTGGAAAAAAAAAAATGAAAAAAGAAAGAAAGAAAAAAAAAAAAAAAAAGAAAAAAAGAAAAAAAAGAAAAAAAAAAAAGAAAAAAAGAAAAAAAAAAATAAAAAAGAAAAAAAAAAAGAAAATAAAAAAAAAAAAAAAAGAAAGAAAAAAAAGAAAAAAGAAAAAAGAAAGAAGGAAAAAAATCTGAAGAAGAAAAAAGAAAAAAAAAAAAAAGAAAAAAAAAGAAAAATGCTTTAAAAAAAAAAGAAAAAAAGAAAGAAAGAAAAGAAAGAAAAAAAGGAAAGAAAAAGAAAGAAAAAAAACATCTAAATGTTAGAAAAAAAGAAAGAAAAAAAAAGATTTTTTTAAGAAGAAAAAAAAAAAGAAAGAAAAGAAACAAAAAAGAAGAAAAAAAAAAAATCTTGATGTTAAAAAAAAGAAAGAAAAAAAAAAAAAAAAAAGTCTTAGAATAAAAAAGAAAAAAAGAAATCAAGAAAGAAAAAAAAAATAGAAGAAAAAAAGAAAGAAAGAAAAAAAAAAGAAAAGAAAAAAAAAAAAAGAAAAGAAAAAAAAAAATAATGTTGAAATTTGAAAGAAAAAAAAAAAAAAAAAAAAAGAAAAATAAAAAAAGAGAAAGGAAATAAAGAGAAAAGAAAGAATGAAAGAAAGAAAGAAAAAAAAAAAGAAAAAAAAAATAGTCAAAAAAAAAAAAAAAAAAAAAAAAATATTTGAAGTAAAGATGAAAGAAAAAAAAAAATAAAAAAAGAAGAAAAAAAAAAAAAATATCTATATAGAAAAAAAAGAAATCCAGAAATAAAGGAAAGAAAATCTGAAAAAAATGAAAGAAAAAAATGAAAAAAAAAAAAAAAAAGAAAAAATGATGTAGAAATGAAAAAAAAAAAAAAAGAAAAAAAAATTTCAATTAAGAAAGAAACAAAGTTCTCTATATTTTAGAAAAGAAAAGAATGAAAGAAAGAAAAAGAAAAATCTGAATTGAAGAAAAGAAAGAAAAAAAGTTGAAAAAAAAAAATATCTGAAAAAAAATTTTGTATTAGAAAAAAAAGGTAAGAAAAAATTAAGAAAAAAAGAAGGAAAGAAATATCTATAGGTAGAAAAGAAAGAACGAAAGAAAGAAAATGAAAGAAAATCTGAAAATAAAAGAAAGAAAAAAAAAAAGAAATGAAAGAAAAAAATCCTGAAAAAAATGAAATAAAAAAAAAAAAGAAAAATTAATTTAAAAAAGACATTTTATAAGAAAAAAAGAATATAAAGAAAGAAGGAAAGAAAATATGAAGATAAAAGAAAGAAAAAAAAAGAGGCAAAAAAAAATATCCTGATTTAAAAATGAAAGAAAAAAAAAAAAAAAAAAAATAATGGAAAAAAAAAAGACAGAAATATAAATATTGAAAAAAAGAAAAAATTAAAGAAGGAAAAAAAAATAAAAGATAAAGAAAGAAAAAAAAAAAAAATAAAAGAAAAATATCCTGATGTAAGAAATGAAAGAAAAAAAAAAAAAAGAAAAAAAAAAGAAAGAATAAAAAAGAAAGACATATACGTTATGTAAAGAAAAAAAATGAAAGAAAGAAAAAAAAAATTTAATAAAAGAAAGAAAAAAAAAAGGAAAAAGAAAAAATTCCTGATGTAGAAATGAAAGAAAAAAAAAAAGAAAAAAAAAAATAAAGAAAAAAAAGACAGGATTAAATTTAAAAAAGAAAATGAAGAAATCAACTGTAAGAAAAGAAATTTTAGATAAAAGAAAGAAAACAAAAAAAGAAAAAAAAAAAAATATCCTGATGTAGAAAAAAGAAATAAAAAAAAAAAAAAAAAAAAATTAAGAATAAAAAGATAAAGATAAAATCTAGAAAAAGAAAGAATGAAAGAAAGAAAAGAAAAAAATTAAGAAAAAAAAAGAAAAAAAAAAAAAGCAAAAGAAAAATATCCTGATGTAGAAAAAGAAAGAAAGAAAAAAAAAAAAAAAAATAAAAGAATAAAAAAGGAAAAGACAAATCTATATGTAAAAGAAAGAATAAAGAAAGAAGGAAAGAAAATAAAAAAAATTTAAGAAAGAAGTCACCAAGAAAGAAAAGAAAAAAAAATGAACAAAAAAGAAATGAAATTTTAAAAAAAAGAAAAAAAAAAATTAATAATAAAAAAAGTTTACATATTTAAGGTATGTCCTCTAGAAAATGTGGAAAAAAGAAGGCAAGAAAATGTGAAATTTAAAAGAAAGAAAAAAAAAAAAATTTTAAGGAAAAAAAAAAAAAAATATTCTGAAGATGGAAATTTAAGAAAGAAAAAAAAAAAGAAAATGTTAAGAAAAAAAAATATAGAATATTAAATAATAAAATTAAAGAATGAAAAAAAAGAATTGAATTTAAGGATATAAAAAAAGAAAATCAAAAAAAAAAAAGGCAAAAAGAAAATATCCTGATTTAGAAATGAAAGAAATAAAAAAAGAAAGAAAAAAATTAAATATTAAAGAATTAAAATCTATATGTAAAAAGAAAGAATGAAAATAAGAATTATGGATTCTCTTAAAAAAAAAGAAAAAAAAAGATGGCAAAAGAAAATATCCTTTAAAAAAAATGAAAAAAAAAAAAAAAGAAAAAAATTTTTCATCAAAACAGAGAATAAAATATGTAGAAAAGAAAGAAAAAGAATAAAGAAAAGAAGGAAAAAAAATAAAGATAAAAAAAAAAAAACAAAAAAAGAAAAAAAAGAAAATATCCAAAATTTTTTTGAAAATTAAAAAAAAAAAAAAAAAATTAAGAATAAAAAGAACATATCTATGTAGAAAAAATTTTAAAAAAAAAAGAAGGAAAAAAAAAAGAAGAATAAAAAAAGAAAACAAAAAAGAGGCAAAAAATAAAAATATCCTCTTAGATAAATGAAAGAAATAAAAAAAAAAAAAAAAAAAAAAAGACAAAAATTGAAATGAATATCTAAATTTAAAAAAAGAAAAAAAAAAGAAGAAAAAAAAAAATGTATTTAAAAGAAAAAAAAAAAAAAAAAAAAAAAAATTTTGAAAGAAATGAAAAAAAAAAGAAAAAAAAAAAAAAAAAAAAAGAATGAAAGAATTTTAAAAAAAAAGAATAAAGAAACAAAAGTTATAAAAGAAAAAAAAAAAAAAAAAAAACAAAAAGAAACAAAAGAAAAAAGGAAAGATGTAAAAAAAAAAAAAAAAAAAAAGAAAAAAATTGAAAAAAAAGAAAGAGCAATCTAAAAACAAAAAAAAAACAAAAAAAAAAAAAAAAGAAAAAAAAAAAAAAAAAATAACAAATTTAAATTCTAAAAAGAAAAAAGGCAAAGAAAAAAATCATTTGCAAAAAGAAAAAAACAAAATTTTGAATGAAATGAAAACGAAAAAAATTGGAAATGTGGAAAAAAAATTTTGTTGGTTCCAAAAGAAGATAATGAATAAACAAAAATGATATTTTTATATTAAAAAATAAAAAAATTTAAAAAAAAAGAATAAAAAAATTATCTATAAAAACAGAAATAACAATATTGAACAAGAGAAAGAAACCTAATGAAATTCTTCAAATGCAAAAATTTAGAAAAGTTTTTTAAAAAAGGTTAAAAAAGAAAAATTTTTTTGAATTTAAATTGTTAGATTTTAAAAATTAACAGCGAATTTTTAAGATAAAAAAAAAAATAATTTTATTTATTAAGAAGAATTAAAATCCTTTCTTGAAGATATAAAGAACATGGCCAAGAAAGGTCGACCCTTCAATGATGAGGAAAAAAATAATTCAATTTTTTTAAAAAAAAAAGAAAAAAAAAAAAAAAGATTCCTTTCGAAAAAAAGAAAAAAAAAATGGAAAAACTGTTTTTTTTTCTAAAAAAAAAAAAAAAAAGAAAAATGTAAATTTTTAAAAAGAAACAAAAAAAAAAAAAACAGACGCAAAAAAATTTTATGTGTAAAAAAAAATCAAAAAAGAGAAACAAAAAGAAAAGAAAATTTTATGTTATTGAATTTTTTCTAAAAGTGAATTAATAATGACATGGCAAAAAAAAGAAAAAAAAGTTTTTTAAAAAAAAAATGAAAAAAAGAAAAGGAAACAAATTAAATGGATCAAAAAAGAAAGAAAGAATTTCTATATGTAAAAAGAAAGAAAAAGAAAGAAATTGAAAAAAAATTAAATCTGAAAATATCAGGAAAAATTTAAAAAAAAATTTCTGAAAAAAAAAAATCCTGAAAAAAAAGAAAGAAAAAAAAAAATAAAGAAGAAAAATTAAAAGATAAATTCAAGGAAATGTCACGTTAAATGAAAGAAAAACAAAAGAAAAGTTAAAAAAAAAATCAAAAATAAAAAAAAAAAAGTCCCCAAAAAGAATAAAAGAATGGGCAAAAAGAAATTTTAAAGAAATAAAAAAAAAAAAAAAAAAAGAAAAAAGAAAATTGAAAAGAAAAGGCAAAAAAAATATCTATACTTATTTTTAAGAGAAAAAGAAAGAAAAAAAAAAAAAAATTTTTAATATAAAAAAAAAAGAAAAAAAAAAAAAAAGAATATGAAAAAATATTTTAAAAAAAAAAATGAAAAAAAAAAGACAGAAAATGGATTAAAATGAAAAATATCATTTGTAAAAAAAAGAAAAAGAAAAAAGAAACTTTAAAAAAAGGAAAAAAAATTATAAAAAAAAAAAAAAAAAAAAAAAAAGAAAAATGAAGGAAATATAATTTTTAGATAAAAAAAAGAAAAAAAAAAAAAAAAAAAAAAATTTTAAATCTTTTGAAAATGGTTTTTTTGAAAAAAAAGAAAATTTTGAAAAAATAGATTAAAAATAAAAAAACAAAAAAATTAAAAAAAAAAATAAATGTCATTTTTAAAAAAAGAAAAGCAAAAGAAAAGAAAGAAAAAATGTCAATGAAAAAAACAAGAAAAAAAGAAGAAAAATTAAGAATAAGAAAATCTTAAAACCTGTAGCTAAAGAAAGAAAAAATGAAAAGGATTTAAAAAAAATGCTTGAAAAAATGTCCCAAAAAATGTATAAAAAAAAAAATAAGGGAAAAAAAAAAAAAGAAAAAAAAAAATTTCTATATTGAAATATTCTCAAAAAACAAAAAGAAAAAAGGAAGAAAAGAAATTTGATTTTAAAGAAAGAAAACCAAAAAAAGAGGCAAAAAGAAAATAAATAAAAAAAACGAAAAAAAAAAAAAAAAGAAAAGAAAAAATTAATAATAAAATTTTTTATAGAAATCAAAAGAAAAGAATAAAAAAAGAAGGAAATAAAAAAAGAAAAAAAAAAAAAAAAAGGCAAAAAGAAAAAAAAAAAAAGAAATAGAAAAAAAAAAAAAAAAAATTGAGTAAAAAAAGAAAAGACAAATAATAAATATGAAAAGAATGAAGTGTCATAAATAAAGAAAATCATATTTAAAAAAATTAAATAAAAAAATTAAAATAATTAAATATTTTATTGAAATTTAAAAAAAAAAAAAAAAAAAAAATTTTAAATAAAAAAAGACATGTCAACTGTAGAAAGAAAAAAATTAAAGATTGGAAAAAAAATCTGAAAATGAAAAGAAAAGGAAAAAAAAATTAAAAGAAAAATGGTCTATGTGAAAAATGAAAGAAAAAAAAAAAAAAAAGAAAAATTAAGAATTTTAGACAGAAAATAGCTGACAATAAAAAAGAATAAAGAAAGAAGGAAAGAAAATAAAAGAGTGAAAAAAAAAGAAAAACAAAAAAGAAAAAAGAAAAGAATGAAAATAGATTATTTATAGAAATAAAAAAAAGAAGTTTCATAAAATGAAAGCTTTAAATGGCTCTTTAATTTGGTTTCTTACCACAATTGTCTTTGAATTGTATCAAAAAATTTTAAAGACCTTTAAAGAAAAATGATACTAAAAATGAAAAAAAGGAGCAAAAATTGATTTTGATTTAAAAAAAAAAAAACTAAAAAAAGGCCATAAAAAAATTTTTCATAAATTTATAGGAGTAAAATGAAAGAAAAAAAAAGAGGCAAAAAAAGAAAGATCCTAGTAAAAAATTAAAAAAAAGAATCATTTTTTGTAAAATAATGCTTAAAAAAGAAAAAAAATTAAAGAAAAAAAAATCAGAAAAATAAAAAACCAAAGCAAAAATGTGTTTCTGGGAAGAAAATGTAGAAATGAAAAAATTTTTTTTTGAAAAAATATTTAAATTTTTAAGGTTTTGTAGAAATTGAAAAAGAAAAAAAAAAATTTAAATCTTTTTTAAAAAAGACAAATAACATAAAGTTTGGTCAAGGAAAAATTAAGATGAAAAAGAAATTTTGACCAAAAAAAAGGGAAACAAAAAAAAAATAAAAAAAGAAAAAATATTATTGTTACAAATTTCATTTATTTTAAAAATTGAAAAAAAATTCTTAGTTTGAAATAAAAGAAAATATTGAAAAGAATTTTCGAAAAGAAAAAGAAAAAATTCATCGACGATTCTTGATCTTTTAGATTTTTGTAAAAAGATTATAAAGGGAAAAAAAAAGAAACAAAAAAGTTCTTTTCGTTCAAATTTTTTTTAAAGTCTGAAAGAAAAAAATTAAAATAGAAAATAAAAAAAAAAAAATTTTATTTGTTGAGAAAAATTAATATGAAAAAAAAAGAAGTGAAAGAAAAAAAAAAAAAAGTATAAAAAGAAAAAAACAAAACTTAAAATTGAAAAAATATTTCTTGTAAATATTGTTTTCCAAAAGAAAAAAAAAAAATTTAAGAATTTTTTAAGAAATATCTTTTAAAATTAAAAATGAAAAATTTTAAAAAAGAAAAGGTGACAGAAAAAAAAAAAAAAAAAAAAAAAATTTTAAAAAGAAAATAAAAAAGAAAAAAAATAAAAAAGAGAAATTTTTTATAATAAAAAAAAGTTGCAACAAAAATTAAAGAATAAAAAGAAAGAAAAATTAAAAAGTTTAAAACAAGAAGAAAAAAAAAATGAAATTAAAAGAAAAAAAATTTGAAAAAAAAAAAATGTGAAAGATTGAAAAAAACAAAATAAAAAATAGAAAAGAAAAAAAAAAAAAGAAAAAAAAGTTAAAATAACCATATAGAATGAAAAAAAAGAAAAAAAAGAAATGGAAAAAAATTTTGTTCAGGAATAAAAGAAAAAAGAAAAAAAAGGCAATAGAAAAAAAAAAAGAAATGAAAAAAAAAAAAAAGAAAAAAAAAAAAATGAAAAGGAAGAAATAAAAAATGTGTTAAAGAAAGAAATGAAAAAAGAAAATAAAAAGAAAAAAAAAAAAAAAAAAAAAAAAAAAAAAAAAAAAATGTAAAAAAAAAAAAAAAGAAATAAAAAAAAAAATTTTTCATTTTTAGAAAGAAAAACAAAAAAAGTCAAAAAAAAAAAAGAAGAGAAAAAAAGAAAAAAAATGAAAAAAAAAAAAAAAAAAAAAAAAAAAAGAAAAAAAAAATGTAAATGAAAAGAAAGAAAAAGAAAAAATGAGAAATAAAATTAAAATCTATATGAAAGTTGTCAAAAAAGAAAATTAAGAAAAAAAGAAAAAAAAAAACAAAAAAAAGAAAAAAAAAAAAAAAGATAAGAGAGAAAAAAAAAATTAAATCATAAAAAAAAAAAAAAAAAGAAAGAAAAAATTTTTTAAAAAGAAAACATTCTCATATGTAAAAAAAAAGAATGAAAGAAAAGAAAAAAAAAGAAAATCTTTTTTTTGTGTCCCTAACAAAAAAAGAAAAAAAAAAAAAAAAAAAAAATGTTTAAATTGAAAAAAAAAAAAAAAGAAAAGAAAAAAAAAGAAAGAATAAAAAAATCAGACATATCTATATGTAGAAAAGAAAGAATGAAATTTGAAGGAAAGAAAATCTGAAGATAAAAGAAAAAAACAAAAAAGAGGCAAAAAGAAAAATATCCTGATGTAGAAATGAAAGAAATAAAAGAAAGAAAAAAATTAAGAATAAAAAGACAGATAATATCTAAATGTAAAAAAAAGAATTTAAAAAAAAAAGAAAGAAAAAAATAAAATAAAAAAAGAAAGAAATCCTGTAAGAAATAAAAAATAAAAATATCCTGAAAATTATTGATTTTCATGTCTATAAAAAAAAAAAGAAAAAAAATTTTAGAATAAAAAGAAAGAAAACATAAAAAGAAAATTCAAAAAAAAACCAAAAAAGGAAAGAAAAAATCAAGATAAAAAAAAAGAAAAAAAAAAAAATTTTTAAAAAATATCCTGATGAAAATTAAAGAAAGAAAAAAAAAAAAAAAATAAATTTAAAAAAGAAAGAAATATTTTAAAAATATTTAAAAAAAAGAAAGAAAATAAAGAAAGAAAAAAAGAAAATTTAAGACATTAAAAGAAAGAAAGACAAAAAAAAGGCAAAAAAAAAAATCCTGAAAGAAAATGAAAAAGAAAAAAAAAAAAGAAATGAAAAAATTTTTATAAAAAGACAGAAAAATTTAAATGAAAAAGAAAAAAAAAAAAAAAAAAAAAAAAAAAAAAACAAAAAAAATCAAAGAAAAAAGAAAAAAAAAAAAAAGAGGTTTTTTGAAATAAAAAAAAAAAAAATTAAAGAAAATAAAAAAAAGAAGAAAAAATTAATGAATGAAAAAAAAAGAATAAAAAAGAAGAAAGAAAGAATTAAATAAAAGAAAGAAAGAAAAAAAGAAAAAAAAAGAAAAGAAAAAAAGTGGCAAATGAAAAAATTTTGATGTAGAAAAAAAAAATAAAAAAAAAAAAAAAATAAAAAAAAAAATTAAAAATTATAAAAAAAAAAGAAAAAATGAAAAAAAAAAAAAAGAAAAAAAAAAGATAAAATCTGAAAAAAAAAGAAAAAAGAGGCAAAAAAGAAAAATATCCTGATAAGAAATTGAAAGAAATAAAAAAAAAAAAAAAGATAAAGAAAAAAAAAAAAAAAGACATATCTAAGAAAAGAAAAGAAAGAAAAAAAAAAAGAAAAGAAAATCTTGAAAAGAAAAGAAAAAAAAAAAAAAAGGCAAAAAAAAAATATCCTGATGTAGAAAAAAAAGAAATAAAAAAAAAAAAAAAAAAAAAGAATAAAAAAGACAGAATATCTATGTAGAAAAGAAAAGAATGAAAGAAGAAGGAGAAAAATCTGAAGAAGAAAAGAAAAGAAAGAAAATCAAAAAAAGGGCAAAATTCAAAAATAAATGAAAAAAAAAAAAAAAAAAAAAAAAAAGAAAAAATTAAGTATAAAAATAAAGAAAATATCTATAAAAAAGAAAAGAAAAAGAAAGAAAAAAGGAAAGAAAATCTGAAAGAAAAAAAAAGAAAAAAAAAAGAAGAAAAAAGAAAATATCTGAAATGAAAGAAAAAAAAAAAAAAAAAAGAAAAAAAAAGTAAAAAAAAAAATATATATGTAGAAATGAAAAACAAAAAGAAAGAAAAAAAGAAAATGTGAAGAATGAAAAGAAAAAAAAGGCAAAAAAAAAAAAAAAAATTCCTGAAAAAGAAAAAAAAAAAGAAATAAAAAAAAGAAAAAATTAAGAATAAAAAGAAAGAAATATAAATATGTAAAAAAGAAAGAATGAAAGAAAGAAGGAAAGAAAAAAAAGAAAGATAAAAAAAAAAAACCAAAAAAAAAGAAAAAAAAGAAAAATATCCTGATGTAGAAATGAAAGAAATAAAAAAAAGGAAGACAAAAATTAAGAATAAAAAGACAGACATATCTATATGTAGAAAAGAAAGAATGAAAGAAAGAAGGAAAGAAAATCTGAAGATAAAAGAAAGAAAACAAAAAAGAGGCAAAAAGAAAAATATCCTGATGTAGAAATGAAAGAAATAAAAAAAAAAAAGAAAAAAATTAAGAATAAAAAGACAGACATATCTATATGTAGAAAAGAAAGAATGAAAGAAAGAAGGAAAGAAATCTTGATAAAAAAAGAAAAAAAAAAAAGGGCAAAAGAAAAAATATCCTGATGTAAAATGAAAGAAATAAAAAAAAAGAAAGAAAAAAATTAAGAAATAAAAAATACAGGAATAATCTATATGTAAAAAAGAAAAGAAATGAAAAAAAGAAAAAAATGAAAATCTGAAGATAAAAAGAAAGAAAACAAAAGAAATTAAAAAAAAAAATATCCTGATGTAGAAAAAGAAATAAAAAGAAAAAAAAAAAAGTAAAAAAAAAAGAAAAAAAAAAAAGAAATCTATAAGAAAAAGAAAATCTGAAGATTTTGAAAGAAAAAAGAGGCAAAAGAAAAAATATCCTGATTTAGAAAGAAAGAAAAAAAAAAAGAAAGACAAAAATTAAAAAAAAGAAAAAAGATTTATAAAAGAAAGAAAAAGAAAATCTGAAATAAAAGAAAATTAAGAAAAAATAAAAAGAAAAATATCCTATGTAAAAAAAAGAAAAAAAGAAAGAAATAAGAAATAAAATAAGAAAAATAAAAGAAAAAGAAAAAAAAAGAAAATTAAAAAGAAAATAAGAAAAAAAAAGGAAAAAAGAAAAGAAAAAAAAAAAAGAAAGAAAAAAAAAAGAAAAATAAAGAAAAGAAGAAAAAAATATGAAAAAAAAAAAGAATGAAAGAAAGAAGGAAAGAAAAATCTGAAGATAAAAGAAAGAAAACTTTGAAAAAAGGAAAAAAAAAAAAATATCCTGATGTAGAAATGAAAGAAATAAAAAAAAGAAAGAAAAATTAAGAATAAAAAGACAGACATATCTATATGTAGAAAAGAAAGAATGAAAGAAAGAAGGAAAGAAAATCTGAAGATAAAAGAAAGAAAACAAAAAAGAGGCAAAAAGAAAAATATCCTGATGTAGAAATGAAAGAAATAAAAAAGAAAGAAAAAAATTAAGAATAAAAAG